TAGGTTGGGTAAATCATTTCCTCTGCCAACGTGTTCTTATCATCAGGGATGCAAATCAGGGGTGTAGGAGAGCTCAAGGTCCTTTATTGGTTGAGCTTCCAGGCACAGACTGGGTGATTTCTCTTGATCTCTCCTCTCTCTTTTTTTTTTTTTTTTCAGTGGTAGTGGGTGGGGGATTGTTCCTAGTCTTCATGTTGCAGTTGCAGGACAAAATCAGTAAGGCAAGCATAAATACCAGCAGAGAGAAATGGCACCCTGAGGCTGCCCCGCCCCCAGGTATAAATTCTTCCTCCTAAATCTCATTGAGTGCCTTGCTGATAAGGTTGATTACTTAAGTGCAGAGTGAAGGCACAAGGGAGCTGCTCTCCCTGACTCTGCATCAAGCTTTTTTCCCTATCTCCTGTGCCATCCATCACACCCCACAGTATCATAGGTAGATGACTGCTCTGCAAACATGTACATTCTGAGCATAGAGTCAGGAATCAATCACCCAGCAAATGAAGAATCGCTGTTTTACATCTTTACGGGCAGATCTGAATTGAGTGTAGCCTCAAGATGGAACTTTAATATTCAACAGGATTCCAGGGAGCTTAAAAGAAAAACAGTTTTAGTGCAGCCACCTGCCAGTGCATTTTATTTGCAGGAAACTGGCGTGTGCTCCTGTGCAAATGCATCTGGGGCTGCAGGGAGGCGGGAGGAAGCTGAGGATTGCCGCAGTGGCGTTTGGGTCATTTTCTCAGAATCTAATCCAATTACTAGGGAGGAAGTTACCTCCATGACAGCAAATCTTCACTTCTGACTTTTGTGCTGAATTTGAAAATACTCTCCCTTCTAGGAACAAATCCATTTGGGGATGAAGCTTAGCTTTGCCTGGTCAGTGTGAAAAGAGAACAGTGTGGTTTCCACTTCTTACTACACATCCTCCACCCCGCCAAATAAAGTAAAGTAAAATACGAGAGAGCAAGCCAAGCCTCCTCAGTAGGAGGAAAACCACTATGGCCAATCTCAGCACCCCAAAATGCAAGGAATTTCATATCTTGTTATTAGAAAGGAACACACACCAACTCATCTTGAAATTTTAAGTTTGTAAAGCACACGATGGGGTGGCTTTAGCTCCCCGTCACCCCTTCTCTTCCCTGCGAAATGAAAGCATACTTCTTACACCGCCCTGCCTGATTCCCTTGCTTGCCTTCCTCTGTCACTTTGAATA